TGTTTCATTTCTGTTCCCTTCAGAACACTCATCTTTTTTCTTTGTTAGATATACTTAGACATTTCTTCATCTTTGTGGCCATTAATAAACCATCACATGTGCCAGTGTGTTACACATACTATATGCACATGTTTATCTATACTTGTAGCTATGAGTGAAGGTCAGTCTGCTTACTAGGGAATTGCATAATGGAGCTGCTTGATAAAACAGAGAGGTAATGCTCAGTGATCCTAGGTAAATTGTCCAGTCCCTTTTGCCAGTGCTTTCTTTCAACCCTTTTATGTTCCTTTAAAAACTGAAGTACTTTCCTAAAAGCACAGCATTGAAAGAAGCTCAGAGAGAGTCCTGCACTCTGCTACTGCAGGCAATGGCCTTTATTATTCTATCTTAGGAACAGTTAGGTGTTTTTGCCATCAGTGTTTGGAACGTGGAATTATTTCAGCACTTTCAACAGCATTAGAAATGTGGTATGATTTATTGGAGGAGGGTGTCTGATATGCTCAATGGAGTTAAAATGCATCACATTCTGTGCACCCTGCAAAGATGTCTAGTTCACTTGTAATTTCAGAAATACTCATGCCAGATAAAAGAATGTGGCTCTCCAGGTGTAGCAAATTGTGCTCTAATCAAATATTCGCCATCAAGGATTCTCTGCTCTCTATTGCTGTGATAGTCCATGTGCAAGCACATCTCCATGGCATATGTAAAAATGAATGCTGGAGAAGACCTCTATCTTTAGAGCATATGTCTGCTCCCCAGTAAAATGGATGGAGGATCAGAGATTTTAAAAAATGATTCACTGTGACTCACTACAGAGTATCTGTAATAAAATCCATCTGAATTTGATAAGGAACTCTAGGAACTAACTGCCTTAGTTACTTATCTAGTTTATTTTTTGTAGATGATTGTCCCTTGCTACTATAGCAATTATGTACCATATGTACAGCCGTAAGATTTCAGTAATGACTGTAATATGATATTCTAGATTAAGGACTTCTGCTCTTGGAAGATTGATTGGTGTCATATTTTCAGTCATCATCAAAAACTGTAATGAAATCAGGAATAACAAAAACTCTCAGAATGCTTTGGAGTTTCTCTTGTATGGTGTTAGAAAATGTTAAAAAAAGTTAATAAAGGTATCAATTTATATTCCCAAATCTCTCATGTTGGAAAGAAGTCATGTTTACTGTAAATCACATTTGCTACTCCAAAACTTGTGGTTACTCAAAATTTCGTATCTAAGGTGCTAATAGATAATTGTTAGCAGCATCATCACCTTGTCACTCTCTACAACTACCTGAAAGTAGGTTGTAGCCAGGTGGGGATCAGCCTCTTCTCCCAGGCAGCTAGTGACAGAACAAGAGGACATAGTTTCAAGCTGTGCCAAGGGAGGTTTAGGTTGGACATTAGGAGGAGTTTCTTCACGGAAGGGGTAATTAGATATTGGTATGGACTGCCCACGGAGGTGGTGGAGTCACCATCCCTGGAGGTGTTCAAGGAGAGACTGGACATGGCACTTAGTACCGTGGTCTAGTTACATGGTGGTGTTATGTCGTAGGTTGGACCCAGCGATCTCAGAGGTCTTTTCCAACCTAATTGATTCTATGATTCTGTGATTATAGTATGCAATCAGTTATTGAGGAGAGTTTCTAGCACCTTTAGGATTAATTAAATTTAATTTCAGAAAATCAAGTTGGTAATTAAAACAGAGACACTGAAGATCCTGAATGCTGCACTTTTGAAGCAAATTTGTTACCACTGTGCTTCAAAGAAAACATAAGACTGACTCAAAAACTTACCAAACTTCATGGAAGGCGTCGTGTTTGGGGGCAGTATGTTGGCCTTTACATTGTGCTTAATATATTAGGCCAGGAGTTCCTTGAGTTTTATTCATGGAAGATAATATCCTGATAGCAGTTTAGAAGCTGATTCATATCTGTGATACACTTTTTTCAAAGTAGAACAAACACAATTTGCAGCATTTATAGAATTTAAGAAACCTCCACCACACAAACAAACAAAAATGATTAGACAATATACAAATGCTGTGTGGGCCACAAATGGCCCACAGACAGGTTTCTTCTATACACCAGTGTTCTCACTGTTTTGAACACAAGGTAAAACAGTTCAGTCCTTCAGTGCCTGTGCGAAGATGCTAAGTAGGAAACAGAGAACCATAAAGGCAGAAGTAAAAATGGGTCCTCTGTGAGTTGAAGCTGTTAGTGAAAGTAATGATATCTTTGCATTTATGGGTTAGCAGTAAAATTCCTCTTTGCAGAGGGGTAAGTGAAGCTTATGTGTTAAATATTTAAATGTGCTATTAATGGGGCATGTTTTCATATGCTTTACATTTTAGCCGACAAGAGAGCCAGAAGTCATCTTAGGGCAGTCCTTCTTTTCATTACCCTACTTCAGTGTGTTAAGTGTCTAAAATGAAATTGGAAATACTCAAAGCAGTTGTGGTCTCAGCACCTGTAGTCAGGTGTTAAATGTAAATGATGGCAGCATCCTCAAAATGACCTCATAAAATGTTAACATTGACTCTGTGTTTAATGTTCAAATTACAAATTTGCCTCCTTATGAGGCTGTTGTCAGAAGAGATGTAAAATCATTGTCTTGCTTTCATTTGTGATTATAAAGCAGTAAGTTTATTTTGGAAGTTACTAATTTGTATCCAATTGGGATGGAGGGAGGCTCTAGTTAATTTTGTCAGCATTCAAATGTACCTTTGGATGTTTTATTAAAACTAAAGACAAGACAGGTTGTACAGAAAAGAAACAAACCACAGCTAAGTAACTGTTGTCACTTTGCCCATAATTTGTATTACTGAGTCAACTGGTATGTCTAAGTTATAAAATCATGTGCTCGTCTCAAATCTTCGCCAGACAAAATTGGCAATTTTAAGATGGGTAGTAGCATCTTTAATGGTGTAAGTTAAAAAATTCATGTTATTTGAACAATTAGTTTTCTTCTTGTTCCTAGATTTTGTCTAGCAATTCATTCTGTATGATCTATGAAATGTGCAACATGAGCAGTGTCTAAGCATTTAATTTTTTAGCAGTGCTAAGTACCTTCCACTCATAGTTGTTGTTAGCCTTAGCAGCCCCCAGCCTTTAAAGATTAAATTTTTCAGTGCTATCACTGAGTTTTTCTTCCCTTCTTTTATAATACTGTTAGGCATTGCTGGCAAGTACAGTTATGTCGTTGTTGCATTTTGCCTCAGGGTGGATGAAATTATGGCTCTGTGCATAGGACTTACACCAAAAGGAAAACAAAATTTTGACAAATCTGTGCTATTCTTGTTTAGATGGAAGGGACAGAGTGAACCCTCTACCAAAGTACATCTGCTGGTATTGCTGTGATGAAATATTTTATTTACTACACTTCCAATAAAAGAATTTTTTAAAGAAGCTATGTGTGATATAATCCATCTGGGGCATGGTATAATCTGCCCAACTGGAAACAGGACTGGTGACTTGGAGTGCAGCTGCAAGGTTATAGTCAAGGAGAAGTAAATGTTTTTCAAATGGGATTCTTCTAAACTGCATAATGAAGGAGAGCTGGTTTGTCATACTTGCTTCTCCTCATAATCTTTACATATGCATGAAGAAATGGTTTTCTTGTGATTGTTCAATCATTCAAGAGTTGATACTTAGGGCTGGTGAGCTCCACTGACAGATACATTCTGAAGTTCTGACCCTTGACACTCTGTGAATAAGTGTAGCACTCAGTAAGTGTAAAAGCATCCTTCAGCTGCTGAGTTTAGGTTTCAGGTGTGGCTGAAATATATCTTACTATTATTATTATTACCTGTATGTAATTACATCTTAGTTCTGAAAACGACTGCCGATTTTGTTGTCAAGTGTGAAGAGTCTGTCTGCTTAGAGTTCATCCTAGGACTGGAATATTTAGGATGATCAGTCCATCTCTGTAAACAGCAAAATATATTTCAGGAAAATCTTTTCTGTCTGTCTCTTTTAGATGATTAATTATCTATTTAGTTTTATGAAAAAGTGTCATTAGAGCTGGATGCCTATTAAGTAGTTAAAATAGCACTCTACTGATTGACTATTTAATGTATGTTTACTTTGTTTGCATGTGCTGTGTCTCAGTAAAATAGCTGGGGGGAAATTTGCTTCTGTCTGAATTGTAGCATCCCCTATATGTATATATATGTATGTGTGTATATATATGCATGTTTTTGAAATAAAACTGATTTGGAAAAAAAGATTTTAACGAAAATGTCACTAACAGAAGGTAAATGGTTTTACTACTGATTTTTGCTTCAGACACTAGAATGACATGCTTTTTTCAGTTTCATACTTAGGTCTTGAGAGACACTGTATTTGTTAAATTGATATTAATTAAAAATGAAAGAGCGATTTGGTAGGTTTAGACTTGATTAGATTCTCCAGAAAAACTCAGATAGCTCTAATGTGGAGATAAGAGCCTAAAACTGCTTTGTATTCCTTCTGCACTCAGAAACAACATTTCTATGAAAATTTCTATTTTTTAGTAATTTGGGACTCTCGAGGGGTTTTTGTGAATATGAGTATTCAAATTTACTGTGATACCAGTGCATGCAACTTCATTTGAAGTCAGCAGAGGTGATGATCTGATGTAGAGCCTGACAGTCTCTGCGATGAGTGGGGGGAATCGTTTGAAGGAGTGTTGGATGGGCTGTGCAGAGCCCCCTGGTTGCTGCTGCTGTAGCAGAGCCCTGTGTTCCAGGGCACAGTGTGATTGTACTGGAGGCGTGCAGTGCCTTCCAAAAAGGCCTGACGGTGAGAGATTGTGCGTTTCCTGACAACCATGACAAAACGATTCCAGCTGTTCTTGAGAGGCGCCTAATGCTGCGCTGGAAATTGCTGTTTTGTACATCTTTAGGATTTAAATGTGGTGATGTTTATTTGGCAGCATTGTTTAACGGGTTTTGGTTAACTAGCTGTTAGCACAACATGCAGTTTTGGTAATGCTGGTTTTGTTTGTCATCTTTTAAGGTTGTGCTGGTGAGATGGAACGAACCATTCCAGAAATTAGCAACCTGCGATGCAGATGGTGGAATATTTGTTTGGATACAATACGAAGGCAGATGGTCTGTGGAGCTCGTGAATGATCGTGGGGCACAGGTTGGTATGCATGTTTTCTCTGCAGTCAAGAGTCATCAAGTCCTGACAGGCAAAATGAAGAGGACAATGAATGATGGTTTATACCTTTCAGAAAGCACAGGAGAAAATGAAACGCTTTCTTGTTGAAAGTAATGTGCAAGAATTGTCATAAAAGCACTTTGCAAGCACAGTTGCTTTATTCAGTAGACATGACATCAACATTACAACTGGGCTGATAGTTACCCTGTCTGGTTCTGTGCAGTGCTGCCTTTTATTAAAACAACAAAAGAATTCCTACCTGGCCCATATATCTATTTTCTTGTCTTTGATATGTTAAGGTAAGCGACTTTACGTGGAGCCACGACGGGACTCAAGCACTTATCTCCTATAGAGATGGATTTGTGCTGGTCGGTTCAGTCAGCGGACAAAGACACTGGTCTTCGGAGATAAACTTGGAGAGTCAGATCACCTGTGGCATATGGACTCCAGATGACCAACAGGTAACGACTGGGGCATTTGCATTTGTGTGCTATAGAATGCACCTCTTAAAAAGTTGTTAACTAGAACGGTCGGTTGGTAAGATCAGTTTCCCTCAAAACTGCTGCTCCCACAGATGATTAAAATTTAATTCATCCTGTCATTCTCATTAGGCAAATATGATAATGTACCAAGTTAACCTGTCATCACTTTTCACCCTCATTCACACACAGTCTTATTCAAAGTTAGTTGTTTGAGACAGGAATCTGTAATTGTATCCTTAATTTGTTGGTTCAGTTACCTAGAAAATGCGTTTGAGCAGAAATACATCCTGGACTATTAAACATCTGTCTGGTCATTTCTGTATAGATCTGTCCAGTCTGCACTTGTAGCAAAAGCCGTTTCAGCAACAGATGTGGTTGTGTTTTGCCTTCACATGAGAAATGGATCCAATTAATTGATGTCTCAACCTTATGCAGACAGCATAATTTAAAGAAGGCCATTTTTCCAATCATTGAGTCCAAATTCAGCTGAGCTTTGAAAAAGCTAGTTAAAAAAAATAAGAAGAATTAAATGGTATTGGTCACATCACTGTTTATAGCACTGTTTATGGCTTGAGCTAGGCCACTGGTTTCTTTTGCAGGATTTACAATGGCCCCTTGCCATTCACTGGCATTTGCTGAGCTGGTCTTTTCTTCCACATGCTTGCTGCCATGGTTGTGTATGTGTGTATAATACAGAAATGATGGGGGTAGAACAGTGCAAAGAGAAACTCTCTTATGATCACAGCTGGGTTGTTTTCCTTCCTTCATCTTATACTGCCATGAAAAGATTCTGGTTCAAGACTTAAGGTACCACTGAATTTAGAATACTATAAATTCATCCAAGATAGAGTTACTTTGGCAATCGCTAGTGGAATATAATAGCACTAATAATATGCATTTCTGGAGCAGCAAAGAATAATTTTAGAGCGCTCTGCATAGAATAATGAATTAATTATTGCAGCACTGCTTTTTAAAGCCAGGGAGTCTAACTGCCTCTTTTTGAATCTAGGGAAATGTAAATCTTGACAATAAATAATTTACTTGAGATCAAGAGGAAAAGGCAAGCACCAGAAGTAGGAGGGGAAACTAAGATCTAATAGCTCTCAGTCCTATGTTTTAAACATGAGGCTACCCCATTTGTGTGATGCTCAGTCGTTGCCGCTGTATTTGGAAATATCTTCACTTGAGTGTTTAATTTGGAGTGGCTGACTGCCTTTAATTCAATTTAGCCAATATGTTTGTACTTTCTAATCTGGATGCTCTATAAGTGATTATTTCAGGAAATAAACACTTGTTCAGTGTCCAGATAAATGCTTTCGAGCATAATGGCCAATTCCAGCTATGTGAAAATCACTTGCTTGACTTACAGACTGCTGCTGACAAACTCACCAGCCACGAGCTAGATGTTGCTCTGCACAGTTCTCCTAACTATGTGGTTTGCAGGGATTTGTGTGTTAAGTGATGATGGATCTTTATACTCTTCTCCAGAGCCGGTGGAAAGCACCAATCTTCCAAAATTTATTTAGATGTGTTTGCCTCTGGAGGCACAAGGAAATATGAATCACAGAGGTACTAGGCGAGAGACTAAGCTCAGTTCAACCTAAAAATAGCAAGCTGGGCAGGGAAGGACATTGCATATATTACACACAAATAAGCACATGGAAATGGATACCCATAATAGCTTATTGCCTTACCTGATTTCTCTCCTGATTTGTATCTCTGCAAATGAGATCAGAATATTATTCTAGTCTAGATTAACTAAAGCATCTTCCCTGTTGCCTAATTGTAGTCTGCTTGTCAGTACAGGGAGTGAAAGATGTCAGTGTTCGAATTTTTATTTTCCTACTGTTTTTTTGTTAACTTTCTGGCACCATGAAAAGGTTGCTAGTGAAAGTGTTCTTGGACAATGTTGCACTCCATGATCCCATGACCATTAACACAAGTATCTTCTGAAAGTTAAATTTCAAAGGGGATTTTATTGTTCAGTATCAATTTTCTATTGTCCTGATAAAAATTTGCTCAATATAGTCTTGTCTGTTTGCCTCACTCATTCACCTTGCTCTTCGGTTCTCTTAACTTTCACTCCCTTCTGCATGAACCTCCTGTTTTCTCCGATCTCCTATTTCCTCCATCTTTTCTCCTGTCTGTGAAACATCAGTAGGCTGTCACCTCTGTCACTCTTCACTACAGCTCCGTGACAGCTCTGCAAGAGGAATGTAATTTCCTACCACCATCTTTCTTTTGGAGGCAAGAAATGGTTGGAGCTGCAGAACTGCCAACCATCATCTTGGTTGACAGAGTATAAGTGGCCTCTGGGTTTGTGTCATTGCTGTGCATTGACACAGGCTTAAAGTAAAGCACTTGTGAGGTAGTGGCTAATGCCACTTATGGTTGCAGCTCCATAGTTAATGCTTCCCAAAGTCTTTTGAAAACATAGAAATGGGATGAGAACTAGAGAGGTGGCCAGGATGAAGTACAAACCTGCAGAAATTGAGCATGTAATTGTCTCTTTTAACTGATTTTGTACATGCTCTGTCCTAATGAATTTTTTGTCTCACTTTATTAGTATTAGATGCAACTGTTAAGCACTTTCTTTCAGGAAGAGAGTGGCATCATTCTTATGGCTCAGTTGTTTTTCTGGATTTCTTGAGCTCTCCTTGTCTGTTGGGGACAAACTCACTGTGAGTCATAGGACAGTTGGTACAATCTGATTGACTGCAGTGCTTTTTCTCAGCATCATTTGTCTCAGATGAACTTCTCATTCAGGTCATTGGCAGATTTCTGCTGTGGTTCACTCCCACATCTTGAGTATAGACTTTGAGCCATGGGCTTCTTCAGCTAATTCAATACATATGCCTTTTGATTGTGATTCTGGCATGTTGGGCTTCTTCAGCTAATTCAATACATAGGCCTTTTGATTGTGATTCTGGCACAAGACTAAAAGTTAGTTTTCTTACTTCACTGTGTATCTGTAGTTCTGCTCATTTAGGCTTTTCCTCCTCCTGTACATTATAACCAGAGCACACATCTGTCCAAGGCAGAGCCCCATTGTCTTCTTAGGGATACACAAAAAGAAGAATGTACAAGACTGTGTCATCTGTATCTCAAGCAGAGTGCCATGATTGGGCTGAACTTCAAGGGATGGGATTACTCAGTAGTAAGACCTTCCTTGCACTGTTTTTAAATGTTTTTTTCAGGAGCTCTAGGAGTCATGTGGAGTATTTTTCTGATGAGAATGCTCACCTAGCATCATGCAGAGATAAAAAGTATATTTGAAATGAAAAGTAAATTTGAAATACCAGAGAATGTTGCACCCTGTCTCGAGACAGTTCTGTGGTGTTGTGCAACGCTTGTTTGAAAAGAAGGAGTGTACATACCAAGCAGACTGAATGACTTCCTAAGTGAGAAAAACTTGGCTTTTGTCTAGTCAAAAGGTTTATTTATAATTATAGAAGGAATGTCAATAAGTAATTGGGGATTTTTCCTAAGCCCACAAGTCATCTAAAACATCTTTCTAGTGGTTCATCTCCCTCCCTGTGTGTTTGCTTAGCTCCTGGACCATATTTCTATCAACTTCTGCTGCCCTTGGGCCACGCTCTCCCTCTCCTTCTCCCAGATTTTACCCACTAAAGAGACTCTCTCTGTTCATGATGGAGAGAGACACAGTGTCAGAGAACTGGGTGAGGTCTGTAGATGGGTCTGATTATCCTTTTGTTTATAGCAATATAGTGTAACTCCCTGGACTTCCCTGGGGTTGTTTCTATTGCGATCAACTTCTGCTGCCCTTGGGCCACGCTCTCCCTCTCCTTCTCCCAGATTTTACCCACTAAAGAGACTCTCTCTGTTCATGATGGAGAGAGACACAGTGTCAGAGAACTGGGTGAGGTCTGTAGATGGGTCTGATTATCCTTTTGTTTATAGCAATATAGTGTAACTCCCTGGACTTCCCTGGGGTTGTTTCTATTGCGTGTGTGTTGTTTATAGCAATATAGTGTAACTCCCGGGACTTCCCTGGGATTGTTTCTATTGCTGTTTCTGTGTGTGAGAAGTGAATCAGAAGGAAACCACTCTCCAATAGAGGGAAGCCTTGATGAAAATGAATTAATACATTTTAATTCTTGGATATCCCAAGAGATGCTAGTAATCTATATTTGTTCCCTGCATCTCAGCTAGTATAAATTATTAGACTTTTCCAACAGCTGTAAGTGCCCATTTCTGTTTCTCCCCCCACCTCTTTTCCTGTTGTAAGCTTTTATTTGTGGACATACAGGGACTGACCAGGATTCTCTTTGGCTAGGACATGACAGACCACAGGTATATGTGAACTCCACCAACATGCTTCCTCCTTTTTGCTTTGGGAATAGGTATACAAGCAGTTAGCTAATTTGATTTGCATCCTGCTGGGTACAACCTTAACTGGTCCCATTGCAATGCAATGTGCATTAGTACTAAGAATGTGTAAATACAGGCCCCAAAATTCAGCCTCTTCTATTTCTAATGAGACAAAATTATGCTCTTGGTGGAACAGAAAACCAGCATTGCATTAGGAACAGGTACCCTGTGCACTGCAGAATCTTATGCACTGGAAGAAAACTGAGACCAGTAACAGATGAACCACTCTGTCTCAAAACACAGGGTGCAGGAGCTCTGTATGCTGTCATTCAAAAAGTCCCTTGTAGCTTGCAGTAGCTGCGCAGGAAGGCAGTTCCTATGCTGTTACTCACTCCTGCTCCCAGGGCTCGGCCGTCCCTACTCCCATGGCAACCACAGACGCTTCAGCATCTTTTTGCCCGCCAAGCAGGAGGCAGGGACAGGCTGCAGCTCCTTCCCCCTGCCTGCAGTGCCTCGGGGTGGAGCCTGGGACCCAGAAAGGAGCCTCACATGAAGGAGGACATGTATGTTGTTTCTGGGTGCAGCAGTGTGGTATGGTGGGGTCTGTGCTAGTACATGTGGTGCCTCACATGTCCCTGACTCGGATC